CACTCCGCCCCACCCCATCCACATCCCCTCACACCCTCAGGGGAGTGATCCTCCCTCGCAGAGGGCCTGCCAGCCAGCAGGTCCTTCAAGGTCTGTTTCCAATTTTACGTCCACCGAGTCTGTTCAGACTCTGTGTTGCCAAGAACTTACAGGCCTCTATGGCCTTTAGCATCTAAATATTCTCAAATTGCCTGATGCGTGTGCCTTCTCCCTCCAGCTGGACTGTAAGGTCCTTAAGGATGGAGCCCCTGTCTTTAGCCGGCTGGTGTGTTGCCACCCACCCCCCAGCCCTCCACCTTGCAGGACAAATAAAACTCGCCTGGTATGATTTGCATGGCTGGAGAAGATGCATCCAGCTGAAACTATGGTGATTTCCAAAAGTAGAACCATTTTTTTTTCTTGTGCAAAACACCCAAGATGGCTTAAGGTAATAGGTCATTTTATTTTCTTATTCAAAAAAAGTGCCTTCTTCAAAGCATCCGTTCTTTTAAATGATTTCCATTACCACGTCTCCTCTAATCAAGTTTTCAGCAAACTAAAGTAATAAAGCTGAACGTCCAGAGACTGTTTTACCAGGTCTGGCAGCAAAGAAATCACCACTGGTAGTTCAGGCAGGATCCTGCCTGAGGTCCGTAATTTCAACCTCAGTATCTGCAACTGTATAATGGGAATATTCCTATCTTGTTGAGTTAGCAATAATGTATGTAAATGGTCTAACTCGGTGTCTGGTGCATATGAGCTGCTAAAAATGGTAGCTGCTGCTGCTTCTATAAATAGTGATAATAATTGGAAATCTGAAGTCACTCCCAGGAGAGAACTGAATTGGACCAGAAACTTATTGTCATGCAGGCTCCATAGGCTGAGAATAACTTATTCAGTAACCTTCATTCCTGCCTCTCCCTCAATCCTTTTACAAAATCCAAAAGGCAAATAGCAACTCTTTTTTTTTTATTATAATTTGTTCAACAAATACCTGTGTGTCTTTGCTATGCAATAATTTGAGGGTTCACAAAGATGAGGAAGACATTTTGGTCATGACCTTAAAGATTATAATCTAATTTGGCTGCACTGCTGACTTCTTCCCTGTGGAGCCGTTTAGGTTCTAGGGAAAGCAAACTCCTGTGAAATATTCCTTCTCCGGGTGCAACTGCAGTCGTAAATGAGGTGACCCAGATTGCATAGGTTTTTATGTACCTGGGCTCCAGTTCTTGTCACCCCACCTACTCCCCAAAGTGAACCAAATGTCAGCCCTCTGGGGCCTTTCTAGGGATGTTGCTCCACGTGGCACGATACATATATTCATCTGAGGAAGACCAAGTAACGTTTACACAGGAAGATGAAATAAAACTCCCTCTTCCGGTGGTAGGCCCTTGGCCTTACAGAGGAGGGAGGGGATTGGGTTCAGGACCTCCGTCACCAGGCAATTCGACTTCCCGAAGTTGGTCAGTGAACACTGGGAAGACGGTGGTTTGCTTTGGACAGTGTAAAACCCATACTTTGTGTTGGGATCTGAGCAAGGTGACGCCTCCAGTAGCAAAGAAACCCAGCAGCTGTTGAGATAAAGGTGTCTGGCCTCAGTTCTCTTCTTGAAAATGTAGTTGTTGACTCAATAGTTCTTCATTGGACCAGGAAAGGAAACAATGGTAGAAATCTATTTATACAAGTTCCTGACGACTGGGAGTCAGGCCCATTGCACCTAAAAATTGCTCAGTGCCTCACATCACTTGCCATAGTACAGTTATTTTTTTAAAAAATATATTTTGTTGATTTTTTACAGAGAGGAAGGGAGAGAGATAGAGAGTTAGAAACATCGATCAGCCGCCTCCTGCACATCTCCCACTGGGGATGTGCTCGAAACCCAGGTACATGCCCTTGACTGGAATCGAACCTGGGACCCTTCAGTCCGCAGGCCAATGCTCTATCCACTGAGCCAAACCAGTTTCGGCTACAGTTCTTTTTAAAAACACTTTTAAAAAATATGTTTTTATTGATTTCAGAGAGAGGAAGGGTAGAGGGATAGAAACATCAATGATGAGAGAGAAAGTACTGATCCGCTGCCTCCTGCATGCCCCCTCCTGGGGATTGAGCCTGCAACCCGGGCATGTGCCCTTGACCGGAATCGGTCTGTGACCTCCTGGTTCATGGGTCACATGAGCCACACTGGCTGGGCCCTTATAAAGTTCTTGGTAGACAGTTGAAAAGAATGAGAAACCAAACAATACAATTCCTGAACCTTGACCCCTCGCCCTTTCTACCTTGACTCAGATGCCCGGTGCCTAGGAGGTGCCAAGATTCTGTCCAAAAGATGCCTTTTAAAACAATCTTATTGCTTCCTTTAGTTGGTGGGAAGAATTACAGCTCATTACCAGCGCTGGTGTTGCCTAGTGTAATAGGCCGCTTTCTATACAGTCACAAATAACAGGCCACATCTATCTGAGTGGCTGGAAATGTGTGTTGTCTCACGTACCCAGAGGAGATCTTCATTAAAGCCTAATTATGGACCATAAATATGTTTTATTTTGGAACCCAGGAGGTGAGATTTTTGATTTGGGGAAATGCAGTGCCTAATAACTAGGCAGAAAAGGGAATGTAAACAGCGACTGAGCCCTTTAATTGGTCCCTCCTCAGTGTGGTGCGAAGGGATTTTCAGTTCCAGCGTGTGTTTTCCCAAGGCCCTGGCCCGGGTGCCTCTCCCAGGGCCGCCTGGCGTGCGCACATGCACACAGCCCCGGGGGCTGATCAGCCGAGAGAACCCTCGGCTTTCTGGTGGCAACATTCCGGAAGGTGCCAGACACAGGAGTGAAGAAATCAAATGAGCCTT